TTTAAAATTATACTTACCGCATTATTTATTGTACCTTTTTAAAACTAACTTAATTGTTAAATGTCTAATCAAATTATAGTACTTTTTATTTTTTATTTTTTCTTATATAATCCCTAATTTAATTTAATTATTTTGTTTTCCTGTTTTCTGTTTTTAATTGTTTTTCTTCTATTTATTATTAGATTATTATTATTAAAAAATAATAATAATACTGTTATCGTTATTACTAGTATTATTATTTTCAATCATATCTTTATAAACATAATGTAGGGATGAAATTCATGTGGATATAGATGATTTTTGTAACCAATATGTGTTTTGTCTATCAAATATAACCAAATAATCAAAGCCTAAGTTTACAGTGATTCGATATTTTTATAAGGATAGGGGAGACAAATATCCTTTATGCAAGATATGCTAAAATATAAAATATAACTAAATAACCTGAAGTCAAAAATTGAATATATATATATATATATATATATATATATATATATATATATATATATATATATATATATATATATCAAATTTGTAAGAACAAAAAAATATATTATATTAATATAATAAAATAATATAAAAGTTTATCATTAAACATATAAAAATTATTACTTATTGTTAGTAGAACATAAAAATTATAAGCGTCAAATTTGTTAACACAGCTACATAAAAAGCATACTACAATAAATGAAATGTGAAGTTTTAAATTTTAAAATTGCTTATTTTGTTGGTTTTAATAATAATAATAATAACAACAACAACAACAATAATAATAATAATAATAATAATAATAATAATAATAATAATAATAATAATAATAATAGAAATCAAATAAAAATTGTAAAAGAAAAAAATTAGATAACAAATAAAAACAATAAAATTAATTAAATGGGATATAATAAATAATTAGTGGTACATATAGATTTAAAATTTAAACTAAAACATGTTTGATATCAAAATGAATGTTAATATCTTGCATAGTTTGATAACATGTTTTAAACTTTTCACAAGTTTTAATGACTTGAAACTCTCAAACCAAAATACAAATGTTTTCAAGTAGAGGCAGCCTTATTTGCTGGATTAGCCTACACGGGGATCATTAGGTTGGCTAAATGATTTAACACGGATGAGCTCTTTTTCTTCTCTCAACGACAACCCAACGTTATTTAATGGGATAGGACCACATTATAAATTATCTGTCACAAAAAGCATGTCACAAAGCAGTGAAAGCACCACTTTAGTAACAAATCAAAGAATAAGATAGAAACGGGTTTCATTCAGCATAGAAACCAAATAGAATTACATAAAACATTCACAATTTTTTGTTACAACAAATATATAGCACTACTATGAAAACATACATAATTAGTTCATTACTATATTAATTACATGAAACATACAAAAAGTTCACCAGCGGACTAGTTGGATTTGGTTAAATTCAAACTGAAATCCCAGAGTTTCTTGGCGAGTTCTGCATCTTGAGCATGTTTGCTTGCTTTACCCATGTTGCTGTCTGCAAAATACTCACCACTAACCCCCTCAACTTGTGGGTTCAAGGCGACATAGCATGTAGTTGCAGCTCCCTGTGGGATGTTCTTCAAGAAACGGTTGAACACACCATAGAAAAAAGCTGTAAATACCAACATAAGTAACACATCATCATCATCATCATCATCATGCATGAAAAAAGATAACTAGCTAGCTAATTTCATGTGAAAAATAATACGGAAATCGATAGGTGAAATTAGGGGTTGAGAGATACCATTGAAACCACCATGGCGTGCAAGTCCTGTTGCAATAATTCCAGGGTGCAGACAATTCGCCGTTATATTCACACCTTCTTCCTGAAACCGTCTTGTCAGCTCTTTTGCATGCAACGCATTTGCAAGCTTTGATTGCCCATAAGCTGAGAATGCACTATAACTGCATCACAAATAACCAATAAACACCATATATTAATTGAATGGTTATAGAATATAATGAAATTAAAGGATGCTATGAATCTTGAAAGAAATAAGAGACGATTTAGATCGATGGTTTACCTGTTCTCGTCATTGATTTTGTCGAACCTAATGCCTTCTTTGTATGTCATCCTATGAATCTCGGATGAAAGAATAACGATCCTTCCTTCTTTCCCACTTTCTTTTGTGGTCTTTTTCATGGTATCCAGCAACAAGTTTGTCAAAAGGAAGTTACCTAAACAAAACAAAACAAAACAAACAAAATTCTTTTTCATCACCATGTATGTTCCTTTCTGCATCTAAACAGCATATACAAGTATATGGAAATCACGACATACCAACATGGTTGGTTGCGAATTGCAATTCGATGTTGTCTTTGCTAAGAGAGAAGGGAGGACTCATGATCCCTGCATTCAGTCTTTCAACACAAAAAAATTGATAAAATCAGTTCATTTCCAACATCCCAACAAGTGTTTTAAATGATCGATCAAATGAATTTTTCTTACATCAAGATGTTCAAAGGATACCCCTTTGAACAATATTGTGATGCAAATTGTCGTACGGATTCAAGTGAGCTGATATCTAACTCCATCACATCAATCTTGGCATTCGGGATTTTTTCGACGATGCTTTCTTTCACCTTTTTACCAGATTCGAGGGTTCTGACTGGCATAATGACATGTACTCCACGTAAGGCAAGGACACGTGTTGTTTCTAAGCCGATACCGCTTGTAGCTCCTGAAAGTCATATAAAACAGGGGTGTCAAAGGACTGAATTTGAGGAGATTTTGGTTTTATTTATTAGAACATGTTAGATTAGATGCAAAAATGGTTCATAATATGCAGATCACTTATAAATCTGAATCGAAATTGATTTATTGAACGTTTCTATTGACCACATCTCTACTTTATTATTCGAGTTGAGACTATTAAAGTTCGAATAGATCAGGGTTTTAACTTTAACGTCAATAAGAATCGTCCATCTATATCGATGGATGTAAATCCATCGGAAAGCTCATCGATTTGATAGAATTCAACTGATGATCACTAACCCGAAAAAACCGTGACACACACACGTTTGAGTTCGACGAATCAATATCATCAATCAGAAACAGAGTACAGAATACACACACCCAAACATGCATTAGAAGTAAGATTACCAGTAACAATGGCGGTGAGGCCAGTTCCATCAACTCCTTTAGTAACATCTTCAGCCGTAGAAGAAGCAGCAAATCCAGATTTGCCCGTGAATATTGAAATCCAAGTCATCTTTGTGTTCTTTTTTTTGGATCGAAAAGATAACCCACTGAGAGGAAGCTTTGATTGATTTCAAATGATAAGTTGATACGTTGGATAAAAAACACCTATATATAACGTCGCAGATAATCAACGGAAAACCGACTGAGAGGAAGCTTTTATAGAGATGATTTTAAGTTGTGATGAAAACTTGGATAAAAACAAGACGTATATATAACGTCGCTGATAATCAAAGAAGGATATAATAATCGGGATAAGAGATTGAACGGATACTTGGTGTTTCACGCTTTAGGATAAAGAAACATGCAAATTAATTATAAAGTTAGACCGTCAATCTTGAAAGAATTGAAATCTTGAACTAGAAGAGTCAATTGTTTAGCTCCACCAACTTTTACATATTCTCATTTCAAACCCCTACACTTTCTAACTTCAAGACCAGTATGCAAATTAGGGGGGTTTTATTTTTAAAGGGTCCTCTATGCACGAAACAATTCGTGTATTAATATTATAAAAAACCCAAATAATTTGATTTGAACATATGTATCTCCCACTCAGATTCCGTCAAAATTATTTTCATTTTGCCCCTTTGATTTGGATACATTCTTTAAAACATACCTCAAATACTTTTAAATTTTATTATAATCTCGTTATTTTAAATTTTTTGAAAGTGTCGAGAAATAAAATGCATCTTAACCTTACAAATCACATATTTACTAAATGCGAAAAAAATAACATTAAAATTATAAATCACTTTTTAATTATATATATATATATATATATATATATATATATATATATATATATATATATATATATATATATATAGGGTTAGGTTCATTTGAGACCACCTATATTTTGTGAGACAGTGATACGCATTTTTTTATTATTTTATTATTTTTTATTATTTTTTTATTTTTTTTAGTTAATTCATGTTCCAAAAATAATATTTAAAAAAAGAATTTTTTAATTTTTCCATTTATTTTGCATTTTAAAATTATTTTTAGAATATGTACAGTGTAATATTCTATTTAGAATATTTCACGTATTTTTCAAAAAAAAAATAGATTTTTTTTTATTTTTTTTAATTAATTCAAGTTCCGAAAATAATATTTAAAAAAAGAATTTTTAGATTTTTCCATTTATTTTGCATTTTAAAATTATTTTTTAGAATGTCAGTGTAATATTCTATTTAGAATATTTCACGTATTTTAAAAAAAAAAAAAAAAACGGAATTTTTTTTATTTTTTTTATTTTTTTATATTTTTTATATTTTTTTAGTTAATTCAAGTTCCGAAAATAATATTTAAAATTTTTTTTTTGGATTTTTCCATTTATTTTGCATTTTAAAATTATTTTTAGATTTGGTCTCACGGTCTCACAAAATTAAAATGGTTTCAAATGAACCTGAACCTATATATATATATATATATATATATATATATATATATATATATATATATATATATATATATATATATATATATATATATATATATATATATATATATATATATATATATCAAGGTTGCAGAAATCGCTCGACGGTAGCTCAACGGTCGACTAGGGTAAGGGATTAATCGGTTTCGACGGAAATTAAGTGGAGATTCATCGGGGACCATTATTTTTTAATAAAAAATTAAATATATGCTAAGCAAATAACCATAAAAAAAGTCATACCTAGTATTTAAACATTTAAGTCATAATCCATCATATTACAAGTCCAAAATAAGTTTAATATTAATAGAAACACACATTTTCATATATTTAAATGTCCATATTCTTTTAATCTTCAAGTTCTTCCACTATTTTAACTCCATCCGATTCATATTCATCTTCTTCAAACATTTGCTCCTCATTGTCAGAATCGAAATCTTCATCAAAAAGTTCTCTCGGTGTTGAACTTTTACGGGGTACTTGATTATTATTAGTCCCAAGAGCTTCATCAATTGCTTCCATCACTGATTCGGGATCAAATTCATCTCCATCTATCATCAATTCTTGAGCTGCATGAGAATCATTTGCTAAAAGCACTTCCAAAGTCCTATCTTTTCTCTTTTTTGTTTTTTCTTCCCATTAGATTAGCATTGAATTGAACATAAACAAGATTGTTCAATCTATTTGTCTCCAATCTATTACGTTTCTTTGTATGTACCTATAAAAGTAGACATAAAAAAAAGGTTAAAAGCGTTCTTGATATTTAAAAATTACAACTTTATAACTAACCGCTTCAAACGTGCTCAAATTTCTTTCACAACCCGATGAACTACTTGTTAAAGAAAGAATCCTCATTGTAATCCTTTTCAAATGAGGAGTTGAGCCACCAAAAAGTCCCCACCATCTTTCTATAATTTTAAAACAAAAACACATTATTAAATTGATAGATATAAAACTCTATTATTTTATAAATGACTAAAATAAACAAAAAACACATTACCCGGATAGAAGTCGGCATTGTTCACCATACAACCTTTAATTGCAAGATCCGATCCAAATCTATCAACTTTTTCCTTGTATTTTGGCAAATCTATCATCACAACTTGTCTTTGCATCTCAAAATCTCCACAAAGTAATGTATCAAAAAATTCAAGAACCGCATCCATTACGTAGGGATCATGTTGGAGTTGGGAATCCTTATAATGATAATAAGGATTCAAAAGATAAGCCGATAAATGTAATTTTGAATCTAGCCTACCTTTCATCTTGTGGTTTATGATATCTATAATAGGCTTGTAAGCTTTCTCGTTACCACCCAAAGCTTTCATAATTTCTTCTTTTGCTACTTTAAGCCCCCCGTAAACAAAACCCATTGAGGGCTTCCAATCCGCATCAACCATTCAAAGGACTTTCACCAAAGGGGAAAACACTTTTAAACATTGTGTCACACCGGACCAAAACTGAAGACTTGTCACTGTTCCATATGAGGCTCTTCCTTTAGGTGTTCCAGAAAATTTGCATTCCTCCCACTTGTTACTAGAGAACATATTTTTCAGTTGCTCCTTCTTTTCGGATACACTTTGTAATGTTAGAAAGGTGGAAGCAAATCTCGTGACTCCCGGTCAGATAATTTCCCTTTTCTTGGTGTGGTTTCTCATCATAGCCAAGGTTTTGTGGTGAGCATAAATGAAGATGGTTAATTTCTTTGCTTGGTCTAAGACTTTCTTAAACCTTGGAAGTCCACCAATACCTTGAAAAAAAATATTATATAACAAATTAACGAATTATAGTATAAAATAAGACATGTAAAAAAGTAAATAATGTAATAAAAAATATAAATACCTTCGAGCATAAGGTTAATTGTGTGTGTCGCACATGATGTCCAAAAAATAGTTGGTCTTTTCTCTTGTAGTAACTTTGCAGCTCCCATGTTATTCGTGACATTATCGGTCACAACTTGAACAACATCACCGGGACCAACTTGTTGAATGCAAGATTCCACATAATCATATATGTACTGACTTGTATGTGATTCATTGGAACATTCTTTTGATGATATAAAAACGATACCCATTCTTGAATTTACACATAAATTCATAATGCTTCTTCTCTTTCTATCAGACCAAGCATCTGTCATGATCGAGCATCCAATCTCTTTCCATTCTTCTTCGTTTCTTTTCAACAAACTTTTTGTTCTTTCAACCTCAAGCTTTAGAAGCCGGTCACTCAATGAATATCTGGTAGGAGGTGGGAGCCGTGTTCCAAATTGGCCAACAACCTCCAACATCATCTTGAAGCTATCATCTTCCAGTGCATGAAAAGGAATTGCATTTTTATATGCCCACCTACTAATGAATTTATGACACGCTAAAAATTCTTTCTTTCCGAACAACATCGTTAAGATAAACTTTTTTTTCCCTTTCCCTTCATAATTTCAGGGTTTATTTTGTTTGCATAGCCATCCATGGGGCCTATATAACTTGGTGCTTTCGACTTTAAGGAATCTTCTATTTCATCCATTTCAACACTATCATTTAACACTTGTATTGCCTCCGATCTTAAGGCCTTATCATGTTCGATTTTAGTTTTCTTTTTTATCTTCCCTTCGTTAATAAAATTCCGCATTCTCAATTGATCATCTTTTGTAGAGTTTGGACATCGACTTATATTCCTGACACATGACCAATATGTTGTTTCAATCTAGTAACCCCCCCCCCCCCGGTAAACACTTTTCCACACAAGTTACATTTCACTGTATCAATTTTGTTTTTATCTGGGCAAAACCCATATTCCCAACCAATGTCATCTGAGTTCCGTTGATGAGCACCACTCGCGGTTGATCCCACTGATGGTGAAGTCGAATTTTTGGATGTCATTATTGGAAACTGTTATATACACTAGAAAAAGACATCAAAAATACATCAGAAATCATACCATCACAACATATATCTTCAGAAATCAATCAATCATAAATTCATAATAAATTAATAACACAATTACACAACAAACATATACCTAAACTACAACAAATCATAAAAAGTCAGCATAAATAATTCTTATTCTCATTAAAAGGCAGCATAATAACTAGATAATAGCAAGTTAATAAACATTTTGGCTGCATAAATCAAGAACAGATGCAATACAGACTATATTTCTCGAGAGGCTAAATGGCAGGCTGCTACCCAGCAAACAAGTGGTACCCAACAAACAGAATCGGTACCCAGCAAACATAATTGAGTATTCAACAATTTTTAGAAAAAATGAAAAACACATATCGCCTCAAGGTTGCTGGAAGAAAACCAAATTTAGATGGGAGAAATAGAGAGAAATACATACACAGGGACAAACGAAGAAAAAGAAATCGCATATGGGAGAATTCAGATGCGATAAATACAAAATATGTTTTGGAGGAAAACGAATTCGGTGCGAGAAACAGAAATCGCATACCTGAAGGATGAGTATCCGTTCGCTGGTGGTTCGTCGAAGACTTGTGGGAGTCGGCTTCAGTTGTATCGCCGATTTTCCGGTAAGCTCTTACCTTCGCTTCAAGGGATGAAAGAGACGAAGACAAAAGCGGCGATGAAATGTGATACTAGGTTTAGACGAATTGACATTTGACTACATTTGGTTTCTTTTTTTTTTTTTTTAAATTTTTTAACCACCTTTGACATTTGACTAATTTTGACTTTCATTGACCGCCAAGCCCGTCGTTGACCGATATTGACCAATTACCTTCAAACACCCCTAATCCTAATCCATTGTAGAACGCCAAACGATTAATCCCGATTTCTGCAACCTTGATATATATATATATATATATATATATATATATATATATATATATATATATATATATATATATATATATATATTCAAATGAGAACATTTGAGAACATTCTTTTGTCTATCACATTAAAAAAACACACATGTTTCTATTTGTAATTAACTGCAGAGGTATTTTCGTAACTTTGTTTGTTATAAACAATTATTATGCCTAATGTTTTTGCATGTTTGACGCAAGCTCGAGAGTATCATTTGAATTCAGGGTGATTCGTTTTGATTTTTTTTGCAATTCATCGTAGATCTTAGTGATTTCTAGGATTTTTCTTCAAAAATTTTATGCTTGTAGTTCGTCGATTCTTATGGAAGAAGAAATTGTATCATCGTCAAAGAATTTTACGTTTAACTATTTGTTCTATCAAAATGTAAAAATATTCACTTTGCGTAACTTTTCTGATGATTAAACACTGACATTTGTATTTATTTCCTTTATTCTAGTAATTGAATCAGTTATTTAACGTTTTGAGTTTGAAAAGAGTTAGGTTTAACATATTGTTCATCGAAAAAGCAAAGATTGTCACTTTTCAGAACTTATTTGATCATTTATCGTTGATTCTTGCATTGTAGCTGCATTTATGAAGTATAAATTAAAAGTTTTGAGTTCAAAAGGAGTTAACTTTAATATAGTGTAACTTATGTTGATCATTAAACGTAGTTTATTGCATTTGTTGTTACATATATGTAGTTTAAATCGAAATTATTGAGTATGAAGCTAAAAATCATGATTTATATTTGTAAAAAAACCTAAATCATTCATCAAACATGTGATTAGTATATGTTTAAAATCGTATTACTTCAATCACATGTGATTAAGTTCTTTTATTAATAGTTTATGATTAACTATTAAAGAAACAAATGTGATTAATATCTATTATAAACTATAATACAATGATTTAAATAATATATGATTTAAAGCATTGAGAAAATCATATGTGATTGATATCGTTGATATTTATTATAAAATATAAACGTTTTATTAACATTCATAAAATCATATGTGATTGATATATGTTATAAACTATTATACAATGCTTTAAATCATATATTATTAATGTAAGTTATAATCATAAATGTTTATAATCATATGTGATTGATACATGTTATAATCATAAATGCTATGAGCATTTACATTTTATATTATTGTGTTTTATATCATATATTATTAATATATGTTTTAATAATAAATTTTTATTTGTTAATGACAGGTTTTGTTGTTTGATAATGTCTTTTACAAGCGATAATGTGAATTTATTTATAAATGAAGATCAAGTTAGTACTTTTGTTGAGAGTGTTGATGAAGATGTTAAACATTCAAGTCATCAAAACCAAATCTACAGTTTTTCAGGTAAATTTTAATTATTGACGAATTTAGAGTTGCATCCGTTTTTTATAATATTATGTGATTATTTACTAATTTTTTTAGTAAATCCGATTAATATTGTGTTAATCGTATGTGATTATTCATTTTTTTTATTTGAATAAATATTGACATCTGTTTGTTTTATCTATGTTTAAATTTTCTTATCATCACATATGATTATATAAAGAATTCATTATTAATCACATGTGATTTTTCATTTGATTTGTTAATAAATTTATACTTAATCACATGTGATTTTACGTTGCATACATTGATGTATATTGAATTTTATGTTATGTGATTATTCAGTAGTTCTTTATTCAATCTGTTTATTATAGTTTTAATCATATGTGATTGTTAGTTTTTTGATATTCGAATAAATATTAACACATGTTTAGTTATCTGCTATAATCACATATAATTATATAAAGAACTCATTTTACATCACATGTTATTATTCATTAATTATACAGGTGAATGTTCTACTTCTTCTAATGATGCCAATTCAAGAAGTATGATTACTACAAGTTGTGTATTAGATTTTTATATGTCAGAGGTTGTACATGATATCAGACCAGATGTTCCTATAGAATTTAAACATACTAAGTCAATGAGGTTCAAAGATGTTAATGAGGGAGTTCATTTTTATAAAAGATATGCCTAAAAGATTGGTTTTGATGTTCCTATGAACACATTAAGGAAAAAGGGTGATATAATAAAGCATAGGTATGTGGTTTGCAACCTGATAGGTAAACCAAAAATGAATTCAATAGAACATAATACAATCTACATGGTGACAAACTGTAAAGCTAAAACTATTATGAAACGTGTCAAAGGACCGGATAAGTATAGGTTTGACAAGTTTCAAGAAAATCATAACCATGACCTTGAAGATAAATTTACTTGAAAAGTACAAGGACTCTTTCATATTATGACAAGGGGTTCATTGTTCGGTCTTCTACAACGAAAATTGGTGCTACAAAAGCTTACAAGCTCAAATCAACCTTGAAAGGCGGTTTTCAGCATGTAAGTCGCAAGAGAGTAGATTACATAAATTTCAAGAGGGATATGGGATCTATTATTGGATTCAGAGATACACAACTTATCGTGAACAAGATGAAAGATCGGAAAAACAAATATCTGAATTATTCTTTTTATTATAAATGCAGCGAAAATAAGGTTTTGAATGCAATGTTTTGGGCTGATGAAGTAGTGAAAACATAAGACAGTGAATTCCAAGATATCATGTTGTAACATTCAATTTTTTGGTAAGTTTCCTTTTATCCCTTTTATGCAAATTCTTTTTATTTTGGCCATTGGTTAGTACGCGGGGTGTACTCTATGAACTCACCAACTTTACATTACTAAAGAAAATATTACAACATGATATCTTTATGAAAATTCTTTTCATTTTATGCAAATTCTTAGGGTTTAAGACTACTTTATGTTACTAAAGAAAATATTGGATTTTCTTGAGAAACATACAAACATTTTCACAGATTCATTGACATATTTTCATTACAAAAACATTCTTATGAACTCACTAACTTAAATGTTGATACACTTTCAAAACCACTTGTATTCTTAGGGAACCGGTAGACAGGTAAACCCAAAGGTTTTGAGAAGACAAAGCTTCTAGAGTCGCGTCTTTTATACTTTTGTTATACATTTTATTATCATACAAATTATGTATCGAACAGATGTAAATACTTTAATTATTTAATGTAATGGTTGTGTTTACTTTGATTACTATGATGCACTTGTTATGATACTGTACATGACGTCCTCCATCCCCGAACGTTTCCGCTATTCCAGTTTGGGGGTGTGACAGATTGGTATCAAAGCATTGTTTATAGTGAATGAAGTATCTCAAACCTTAAATGGTATACAACTATAAACACTAAGGGGCCGAAGCGCTCTGAGCTAAAAAGTATACTTTTAAATTCTAAGTATTTTATAAGAAGTATACTAACACTACATACATACCATAAGCAGTATCACAAGAAGAACAAAACAAAAGTATTTAGATGTTGGACATTACGGTTAAAACCTGGGCAGTTATGTAATCATATGTGGGATAAATATATCCTGATCAACTATATTTATTTGAGATACGACCAACATGTGTTTGAGAGTGATAGTGGTGTTGCAACAAGTCTAAAACTTACCAAACTCTATACAAAAGGGAACAGTAGAACAAAGCATACAAACTAAAATACTATAGGAGTATTTGGTAGCATTACGATACTAGAGCCAAACCCATTCTACAGATTTCATTCCATCTGTTGCTATAAATCCATAACAATTGTTTACTTATGTTAAGTAGACTTCCACTGTAAATCTCTTAATAGAACACTATAACTGTGAGGATTGGATATACACTATTCAATATCACATGACTCTTGACCACTATAGAGGAATTATCTTCTTTTTTCTCTTAAATTCTTTTAGAGAAAGATACATCCGAAGAATTCCATCTGAAAGAACAACAATCCACCACCACCGCCACCTCCTCAGTATGATCCTACTGTGTTCCAAACAGCAGTTACAACCACCGTGGTTGCCGCATTGTCACACATTAACGCAAGTGGAAAAAGCGGGGTGGGCAGTGGTACCAACCGTTCCAATCAAGGAGACAGTCAAGGATACCCGAGGGAGTTTTCCTATAAGGACTTCACTAACGCTAAACCTCGGTCTTTCGATGGCACTGGAGGTGTCATTGCCCTGAATCGTTGGTTCGAGAAGACCTAATCAATCTTCGAGATTTGTGCGTGCCTCGAGACGAGGAAAGTAAAATTTACAGCATGCATTTTCACTGATAGAGCACTAACTTGGTGGAACAACCAAGTCAAATCCCTAACTCTCCAGATAGCTAATGCCATGAGTTGGGATGATTTGAAGGAGTTGATGC